TTTTCTGCACTTCAGTGCCAACTCAAGGGTACACTGGGCTCTCACCTTCTGCCCTCATATAAGTTGTGCAAAAACTGTGTGTCGACTTATGAAGCTATCGAGTGCTACTGGAGCAGAAAGAGAAGGGGGGTTTATGGCAGAAACAGATCTGACTCCATTAGTATGAGAAGGGGGACGCTGTGGGGGCTGTGTGCATCCCCACAGTTGGCTGAAACACAGTGGAAATATTTTATCTTTTTAAATAACTTAAAAAATAATAAAATAATTGAAATATAATTTAAACAATTTCCTTTCAAGTGCTTGTGGATGCATCACTATGATGTTGAAGTATGAAAAATACGGTAAATTTGAAGAATAAAAATTGTTCTCTATCGATGCTGACATGACTTCTTGCCTTCACCTCAATGTTGCTCAACATAAATGGCTACAGAAAATGAAAATTATTATATTATAAAGTATATAATACCATTATTATATATGGCACTGCTGCTAGGTTCTGCCATTAGTTAGCTCGGTTAGAGGTCCTATTAGCTCACTCTACCTGGACTGGGAGCTCAGAATACCGGGGGTAGTGTTGGTGTTTGTTTGCACCACTAGCAAAGGAGCTTTGGACTGCTGTGAGGAATAGGTTTTCAAGCCCATGGTGAGGGACCTAGCAGGGAATGCGGGGAAACCATAAAAAGGTACTTATGTTAAATTTTAATGGATTAAAGCTAGGGTAGGCAATGATTTCAGAAGCATTTTGTTATATTTGTTGAAATTCTCTTTACATTTTGACAGGAATCATATAAATAAAACAAATGCTCTGATACAAAAATGAAAAAAAGCCGGTATCTGTGGCTGTCGCAGGACTAGAATATTCAGCCTGAATGAAATTATGTTAATTCAGTGCAGCATGAAGTCAAATGCACCTATTGTGTTTTGAGGGAGTGGCTTTGGAGGGAGGCCTGAGGGAGGAGGTGGGTTTTTTTGGTTTAATAATAATTAATAATATCAAAATTTTGCTGTTCCTTTGCTTGTTTCTCCAGTTAGGTCTAACCTACCTTTAAGTATTGAATTTTTAAAGAACACAAAGATGTTACTTATTGTGCATCTATATGTTAAGCCCCTAAATGAACAGGAAAACAATTGATTTACAGAATAAAATAGCACAAGGAAGCAGAGAGGTTCTGTTGTTGGGAGGAGACTTTCTTTAATTCTTAATCTCTCAAAGAGCCTCATTGTGGTGCTCTCACAAACTTCTTTAACTTTAAAACAGAGTCTGGTGGCTTTGACAAGAGCTATATAGCAACTGTTTCTGGTTAACTAAAGGATCCTACTCTTTAACAAAAGGTCCATCTCTGTAGGGATCCTTTCCATAATGTTGTCAGACATCTGTAATAACAATCTGACCTTGTCAGAGGCAAAAACAAGCACTTTAGTGGACGTACTTTGACAGGGCGCAATTGCCCGCAACGATTACGGTGCAGCCTTGTTTCACTGCTGCCAACAGCAGCGCGCTTGCTCAATACTGAACCAGTTTCAAAAACTTTGTTCCAATTACTCACACAGACACAGAAACATGGGACATGGTCCAGGCTGAAAAATACTGGTTATATTTTAATGCAGTTGAGCAACTCCATATCACTGAACATCTTTAAATGACATGATCTCTAATTTATTTTTTTACTGACAACTTCTGAGATCTTAATTTTTAGGTTTCTTATTTGTACACTAACAGTGCAAAAAGCAGAAGACATGGACCGTGAGAATAGGGAGAAGACACACCCCGCAACTGTACTTTATCAACTTTTGGGACAAAAACCAGGTGGAAACTAGAAACATTCGTTCTGCATCTCAGACAAATCTGCTTGTATTAGGAGCTGCCATGATTGTACACTAAATTGTGTTTCTGACACTGTTCCACATTCCATTCCTGAGAGAAAACCCTTTCATCTTCTTTTTTATCCATGTTATTCTGCAAAACCACTATATTAACCAGTATGTGTTATCTGTTTTACTGTAAATCATTCAGACATGGTTCTTCCTGTTTGGCTTTGGATTCAAACAAATGAAGGAGGAGGTAGATACCGCAAAGAGAACTAATGTGACGGGTCAGGGCCCAATGCTGAAATGAACTTAGTGCAGATATGCAAAGTAATAATTTACAACCTTTATTTATCCTGTGAAACCTGACAAAAGACACATGCTGGTTTCCATCACCTCCCTGAAACATATTCACACAGCCTTTAACCCCAAACACATCCTGGACTTAACCAATGCAACCACAGCCTTCTACAACTGACTGACAAGTAGCCATCTCAATGCAATGGATTAAAATCCATTTCAAACGTATCCAGCAGCCTATGCACAAGCCACAATACTACCACCATCTAGCTGTTAAAAAGGAGTAGAAGTATTAATAATAACAATAAAACAGTCTGTAATACAGCAGCAATAAATAAAGGGTTGAATATCTGGTCATCAACATTTTAACAGAGATCTAAAAGCATGGGGTTGTAATATTTATAGCCTGTTTTATGATCATTTTAGGCCTGTAAAGATGATGTGGTACAACAACAGTTTATAACAACTGGACAGCTCTAAGTACCTGCAAGAGAAGGCAAAACATGTGCATGTCAAAGTAAAACATGAACAAACAAGAACTATGTATGCACACATACTCAGAACACACACTCATTAAATACTGGCCAGGACTCTCAAGAAAAAAAAGGGTCATTTTATGTGTCCTGTGTGAGATGGGATTTCTGCCTCCAAAACAACCGTTTATCTTAGCGGCCTACACATGGGCCACCTTTCACTAGAAACATGCTGTAGAAGACTGAAATGGAGGGAAAATATTATAGAGGTTGAGATGAGAGTGTACAGTACATACAAAACTCTACAAGACTGAAATTGAGGAAGGGAAAAGGGAGGTGAGTAGGTTATAAAAGTTTGTTTACATTAGTGATAATTTACTTTATAATAACCACTACCAGGCGATAAAATTACCTTTTGATTACCCCTCCATTAATAAAGTGAAGTAAGCCGGGATTAAATAAATCTTACAAGCCCGCTGGCTCGCTGTTCTGTGCGTGAACAAAGTCACATACAGCACTGGTACAGAAGAAAAGAAATAAATTAATAAAAGGAAATGAAAGAGTAGAGAAAGAGGAAATCTGAGTTTGTTAAATTCCAGCAGGTGAAAAAAGGACATGAAGAGAAAGAGCCAGATATAAAATGATTTTATAAGCCAACCAGCCACTTTTGTGCTTTGTGTATGCACTGTAGGTGTATAGCTGTGGCCTTGGCAAGGCGCCTCCCATGAGGAAGCAAGGCTGCATAATACTGGAGGCCAGAGGTGAGACTTTCACAGCTCTGCACAATCCATATTCAATATGTACAGGGCCCTGGCTGCACTGTTGCAAGAGCTTAATTAAAAAGTAACAGTTCCAATACATTGGAGTCTGGATGACCCACATCCCCTGCCTGTTAATGCTGTGTGTGTATGTGTGGATGTGCCTGTAGTGGGATGTTTGGGGCACTTGAAAAGGAAATGAGAAACAGTTAAAGTCAGTCAGAAAGAGCATACACATTTAGTCATTTAGGAAGCTGTTAGAACACATTCTCTAAGTAAAAGAGAATGTGTGCCTGATGCCTGTGTGTGTGTGTGTGTGTGTGTGTGTGTGTGTGCGTGCGTGCGTGTGCGTGTGTGTGTGACTCTGAGGACATGAATTATTCACAATAACCCTAGGCAGTGGTATATAGCACACTTGTGCCTTGTGTGCGCACGTAATGCATGTGTATGTGTGTTTGTGTGTGAATCTGTGTATGTGTTGCATGTGTATGTGCGTGTGTAAATGGGGAGCATGTGAAGAAGTCTTGAGTGCAGTTCAGCCATATGCTGTGGACCTAATCCACTATGACAAACCTCTGACATCACATGAACAACAGGGATGCTGAGCAAAACTACTCATTCATAATAAATGAGAGAGAGAGAGACTGTCTCTAGGGAAAAGAAATAAAAAGACCAAAAAAGAAATAAATAAACTGAGCATCTATTCATGGCAGCCAGTATTACACCTTGAAAAAAATGCTGGTTGTGTGGTAGCATGCCATTACACACGTGACATCAACCAGCCAATAATAAAAAAGAATGACAATCTTTATAAAATTACAAAGTGACTCAGTTCAAATAGGGAAAAAAAGAGTTATCTACGTTTAGTGAAAACGCAGTCCATGGCTTAGACATTCAGACTACAACGAGGACATGATTGGATGTCTTGTCTTTACATTTCCTGTACCTTAACACTACAATCATGTAGGAAATGCCATGATAAATTTTAGAGTGAGCAATTACCTTTAAGCTATGAATAGCTATAACTTCCTGTGCTAAAAGGCAGCCTTTAAGTAAGGACAATAAAAAAGAAAGACTAAAGTGCTTGTTTTTTCCCTGGCTTGTAAGGGTTCCTCTGCTTAGACGGTTGAGTCCCTAAAGATAGTTCTACGACAAGGCTGATGAGCCCTGGCGTCATATTTTATTATGAGCGTGCTCCAGTTGGGCTGCAGTCTATAGACGGACTATAGACGCTAAAATCCCACGGGTGGTTGGTGCTGTATGAGTCTCTGGGAGTTTTTTACTCACAGTCTGACTGCTGCTGCTGTGTCATCCATTATTTAACACACACACACACACACACACACACACACACACACACACACACACACACACACACACACACACACACACACACACACACACACACATACACACACACACACACACACACATACACACACACACACACACATACGTGCTTTGCCATGTACAGTACATATACACACCAACATGGTCTTATACAACTGCATATTTACCAAAACTTACTCACCTAAACCTCCTGCACATTGTAACTGAAAATCCAGAAAATGTCCTGTCTTCCAAACAGGGCCTGTCTCAAGTCCATTAAGTTATAAATAATTCAGCCGACTCTGCCGCAAAATAAGAACAACCCGTTGCTCACCATTCATTCTGATCGGGCAGCTCGTGGATCCAGGGCACCGGGTTCTCTCCCACAAAGCCAATGTCATCGTGGGAACTGGAGGATGATTGGTCGGAAAGGTGGGCAGGAAGCAGGGGCGGCCTATCATCTTCGATCATCACTATGTCGTCCTGAGGCATGTTCACAGTCGGAGAGAGCTGGTAGTTACCTGAAAGAGAGAGGGGGCATCAGACAGATTAGACAGCATATTTACCTTTGCGAGGCAGCTAGATATTGCAAGATCACAAGCACACACAAGATCACTCGAGATTCCATCTTGCCAGGCTTCAAGTTATGCCCTTATAGCCGAACCACAATAATTCGGACCAAACTGGAAACCAAGAATGACTTCTCAAGTGGTTCTGTGTAACAAACCATCTGGTGCGTCGGGTTAATAGCATGTCTGCATATATTTATAGGGGTTTATCAAAGTTACACAACATGTGAGAAATCTGACTAAGAAAATGATGTACATGCGCTAATGAAAAGTCAGATATATGTACATACACACTCCTCCACAGAACTCCTCCTCCAGCTCCTCAGATATGTGTAAACATAATAATTCTATTAATAATCACCAAGATAATGCAGTATACAAAGATACATTTGGTCAACATTATTGTACTATGAAATTGTCATATCAGGATATGCCTGAAGGACACCAACATTTCTCAAAAAACTTAAATAATGTTGCTTATCAGGTACAATTTTGCAAAGCTGCATGCATACAAGATGCTGCGTGACTCTTGTGAAAATACACAAAATTATAACGTCTACTTTCCAGAATCCAATCTCTTAATGTCGCAGTCAAAGTAGCTTCATCCATTCTCCTTCACTCTTCTCCAAGGATAAATATGAGCAGAAGAAGCGCTCCCCTGATCTGTATTCTGTCCTGTCTGACCCTCCCTGCTGAGGACTTCTTTGAACCACCCTTTTGCTGCTCCTTAGGAGTCAAAGTAAATGGGGAATGTGCTGCCATGGCTGGCACTCAGCCCCAAGGGCAGGAGAAGGATTGTTCAGTGGCAAGAGAAGTGGCATTACAATACAAAGGCAGAAGGTTCACTCTGCAAATTGATCAGTGTATGACTTAAGAATGGACAAGGGAATCAAAGTCAAGACGACTGACGAGATTCGACTATAACCACACACCTGCTTTCTATTAGAATGCTATGACTGGACTTCCTGTGGTCTTTGCTTTCATTTCCATTATCGGAAAGCCATTTGGCAAATTTAATAGCTTAGAAACAATTGTGCGTAATCACTAGCAGCAGACAACAATATTTACCCTGGCAGGATCCCAACATTAATCTGAGAGGCATTTAATTTCACTGGGGCTCGACGAATGATAAATGCATAGTGTGGAAGTAAATCCGAGCACCAATCAACGCAGCAATGATATGTATAGTTTAGTTATTTGAAGAGAAAAAAAAATTAAAAGAACAAAGATACAATACAAAATAGCTGTGCAGGGGAGGACAGAAAAAACAAAAAGCACTGAAGTCAAAACACAAACAGAAAATCAAGCAGAAATAGTTATTTTGCAGATACAGTATGTCAGGAGTCTAATACATGTTTCAAACTAAATGCTTCAAATGCAGTGCTACTGTGAATACAGTGAATGATATTATCAGTATAGAAGTTTACTTGGCAATTATACGATTTCAGCTTACAAGCCTGATGTTTATTTTATCTCCATAAAACAAAACTCTAATTCAGGATAGGGCATGTTGCTTTATACCATGAGTAGAAAACGTTGCCTGCCCCTGTACTTGCGCATCTGTTAATTAATTCTTTTGAAAGCCTCATCCCTTCGTGTATGGACTTCTCATCTAAACCAGTTAAGATGGCTGCCAACACTGTACAGGTGAAATGAAGGCCATTTCTCACTTGGGCAGCTTGACAGAGAACCATGGGTAATTGAATTCCTGTACTGTAAATCAGCAGGACTGGAGTAATGACAGTAAGAAACTCTAGGAAGTCAGTTAGACTAATGTAGGCCTGTAACTTATGTAGCAGCCAAATAAGTATTGGAATAGAATTATATCATTATTTTATCCAATAAAAAAATATTATTATATTATTATATAATTATATTATGATGTACTGCAGCAACACTGGTAAATGTTTGTCTAGTTATTGTGATCATTTCTTTCATTTTTTTCCAGATTGAAGACAGATGAAGGGGAAATCTGCATATGGGAAAAAGAGAAATGTATTATTATCCTATAGTCATTACTATTTGTGTGTGTTGATATGAGTATCAATAATATGTACATGATTTGCAGAATCTGTATTTTATCTATATTCTGCGTACCAATATCTAATTAGTTTAGTTGTGTCCTCTAAGTCCGTTTAAACACTTCCAAACTTCAACACTTCTGTCCTCTGTCGTCAGTGTCTCTGCTTTACAGTCAGTTTAGTAAGTATGGCAGTTTTAATAAGAGACACCCTGTGGTTGTGTGTCCACAGGGGCCATCCTTCTACCAGCCTTTACTTTCCCGTAGCCGTAAGGTAAAGTTACCTCTCAGTTGCATCAGCAACACTGCGGATTGCACTACCGTGGTCACCTGGAAAAGACATACAATATAGTGATGGTAAGTGCTGTTTCCTCAAAAGAAGCTCTGTAAAAGCTTTGGTGTGTGTTTCACATACACAACACATGGATATAACATTTCTTTTCATATATATATATATATACACACTCTTAATCACAATACAAATGCATAATCACCTTACAATCACTAATGTCAGCAGACCACTTTCCTAACACAGGACACAGTCTTAATTAAAAACTCAGCAAGTCTCCTTCTCCCACCTTTATTAAATATTCCCAGCCATGACCTCTTGACACAAGTAGCCAGCTCTACAAATGAAGAGTTGTTAAAGTTATTCCACTTCCCTCTTTGCTACGTAGCTGAAGGACATACACGCACACTCATACGATAAATGGCTACCGGACAGGTATAGCTGGGGCCATGCTTATGATTTGAAAGGTGAAAATGATTAGAGAAACCGCAGCACTTGCTTTTCTGCATCTGTCAGCATAATAAGAATCACCAACCTACCACCAATACTTGTTGTAGAATGTGGCAAGTTAGCTCAGAAAATGCTTGACAGTGTTTTAATGTGTTGAATCGCTGTTTGGTCATTAAAACTTTGAAAGCAAAATGGGGAAACACAGGTGCAGATGGAGCTGCTCACTCACTGTTTTAACACCATTGTCTGTTACCAGCTCCTCACAGTTGGTGATGAGGGGGAAAAGGGACAGGTGACAGTACCAGCAGAGACACTTCAACTCCTTTTCCCAGCCAGATCGACAGCGTATATGTGTGTGTTCAAGTGAGAAATAGCTGGTGACTAAGGCAGTTGAAAGTCAAGGATGTTCATCATGGAGAGATGATCCTGAATGCAAACAATCGCTGATGAAATAATGAGCGGACAAATACTCAGTTCCTTGTGGTCTTATTTTATGTGCCTTTTCTCTACTGTTTACACCATTTTGCACAGAGAAGGTCATCTGAACTTGTTGTCCTTAGGTTTAAAGCAACTTTTTACTTCTTAGTTGTTCCTCTGCCTAATGGCACTTCAGCAAAATAACCACAAGCATCTAAGCCTGAGTGCTGTGAATGCAATTACTGTTTTCACAAAACCCAAGAACCGCTATCTTGGCCAGAATCAAAACACTGTTATTCAGCCTGTGATGGCCTATGCAAATCTGAAAACACTTGGGCCTTTCATGCACTCAGTTTGGGGAATGAAGGCAAAAGAGAAGACACAAAAAATACAGTCATATCATAATGCCATCACGAATGAATCAGCAGTCACACACATGTGCGTGTGGTCACATGGGGATAAATATTAATCCAATTAAGATGAGTGGTTCACAGAAGCTGGCTCTTTCACAAAGGGGCTCTTTTGTATTTGTTAAAGAGATTCTGATTCATGCTTACCATGTAGCTAAAGAGTTGGAAACATGGCCTTGCCACTGTGGCCTTTGTCACACTATAATCAAAGATAGCTTCTCATGAGTCACGCTGACAGAAGCAGATGCACACACCCACTACCTCAGCACTACTAAAAACAAACACAAGTTGTTGGAGGGTGTGTTTACCATGTAGCAATAATACTGTAATGTGAAGGCAAACCGGATCACAGTTAACAGCTGAAACATATTAAAGATTACAGCGGTTGTTAATTTTAATGTTAGTACATTACATTTTAGTGTAACTGTGGTTTATAGACTAAATATTTTCATAACTGACAAACAAAAAGCAAACTGAAAATTAATTTGTTTCAGTTTATGCTTGAATAAACTGAGCTGCAGTCACATTAAAGTCATGCCCTTAAATCTGTCACCCCACTGCATAACAGTTTTTGGATAAGAATATCAAAAACATGCTAAATGTGCAGAGGAAATCTTCCAGTTAATGCATCCTGTCCTTCTGCACCACACTTTAAAAGTTTGCAGCATCACCCACTTATATAATACTATAATCAGTATAATGACAGTCACACATTTCCACGTGTACTGAAGCACACGCAGCCTTCGGGCAGGCCATGCTCAGCATGCGGGAGCTCTTCTACGGTATTGACGCAGAGATGTTCTTCTTCCCCTCCGGCAGAGAGTGAAGACAGAGATAGATGAGCTCTCTGGCTCGAGAGGCCACCTGGCTGCATCCATCCAAACGGATCAGAGCTTCACTCTCTTCTTTCTGACCAAGCGTTGCCCAGTAAAACATTGAGCTATAAGGTGAGAGGTCACACTAATAGCCCCACTCCATCTTCTGTCTCCTACACCATTTCCTCCATCTCTGTCCATCACACACTCCTACACTCTTTTCCTCTCTCTTCTCTTTCTTCCTCCCTCCTTTGGTGACACTTTGGCCTATTGATCTGACTGGAGAAGAGATCATTAGTTGATCCATGTTGCCAGGCCCATACATGGATTACAGCCCATAATCATGCTAAGCACACAATGGTAAAAACCAAACACTAATGCTCACCAGGGAACACTGGTGACATTTTCTAACTTCACTTTCATACTGAGATGAAAATGACACATTGTTGCATTTTAGTTGTGGTGTTGTTTGTGTTCACACTAACTTTTTACAAACAAACAAAGAGGAGTAAACATGAACTCACACAGTACATATTTGACTTGTGCAACTT